TATGAATTCATACGATCTAATTCGTACAATTAAGTACGATTTGTTCATCACCCAGTGACGGTTGGGGTTAGGGGTTGGGTTGGGTGCTACGCCTCCTTTTTCAAATCGTACATTTTCGTACGACTGAACTCATATGAATTAGCCACTAAACTGTCAAAAAGTAAAATACTTACGTGTCCTCGTGAGATCAAACTGGATTAGCCCAGAAATAACCCAATTTTCTTTTGTTCTTTCTCAATAGGTGGCTATTATAGCTGGAAACTTTGACCTGGCAGAAATTATAAAGACTCACAAAGCATCAGATGTTGGTAAGTGTCTAGAATATCGCCACCATCATTAGCTGCTGTCCAATCTGAGCAAGCGCAAACAATCCCTCATGTTAATGAATCCCTATAAACACGGCAGAGCGCCACAGCCTGCTTACATGAAAATGAGAGTGCTCCCTTGTGTGTCAGTGTGTGTGTGTGAAATTGTGTGTGTGACGTTCGGGTGAATGAGAGTCATCACTCTATTCGCCAGCGTCGACGGCAAGGCTAGCTCATTCCACACACAAGTTCTGGCGGGGAATAGCAGCCGGTTGTCGGGCCGCTGTAATGGATGGTTCCCATTAATGTGGACCAGCATCGTCATGGCTACAGCGCGGGGTTAATCCCTGAGGCTCAGCAGGTGTTGGGAGTTTGATTTGAGCCAATGGGAGTCTTGCTGCAGGCTCCGGTATCTCATCAGAACGCTGTGTGACCTCGATGAAGGATGGGACATTCGCTCTCTCTCACAAATACACACACTTGTACAGCTATCTTTATGGGGACTTCCCATAGTCTTAATGTTTTTATATACTGTACACACTGTATATATTAACCTATCCTTAAGTCCAACCATCACTGAAAACATTCTGCACTTTTACATTTTCATAATACTTCTTTATCTGTGATTTCTGAGATTCATTTGTAGATTGTTGCAAATTTATTTTAAAAAAGGACTCAAAAAACACATGTACAGAAGTATTCACAGCCTTTGCTCAGTACATTTTTGATGCACCTTTGGCAGTAATTACAGCCTCAAGTCTTTTTGAATATGATGCCACAAGCTTGGCACACCTGTCTTTGGGATTTTTGCCCATTCCTCTTTGCAGTACCTCTAAAGCTCGATCAGATTGGATGGGAAGCAACGGTGAACTGCCATTTTCAGATCTCTCCAGAGATGTTCAATAGGAATTAGGTCTGGGCTCTGGCTGGGCCACTCAAGGACCTTCACAGAGTTGTTGTTCAGCCACTCCATTGATATTTTGGCAGTGTGCTTTGGGTCATTGTCCTGCTGGAAGATGAACCGTCGCCCCAGTCTGAAGTCAAGAGCACTCTGAAGCATGTTTTCATTCAGGATGTCTCTGTACATTGCTGCATTCATCTTTCCCTCTATTCTGACTAATCTTCCAGTTCCTGCTGCTGAAAACATCCCCACAGCATGATGCTGCCACCACCATGCTTCACTGTAGGGATGGTGTTAGCCTGGTGTGGTGCCTGGTTTTCTCCAAACATAACGCTTGGCATTCACTCCAAAGAGTTCAATTTTAGTCTCATCAGACCAGAGAATTTTGCTTCTTATGGTCTGAGAGTCCTTCAGATGCATTTTGGCAAATTCAGGGCAGGGAGTGGCTTCCGTTTGTCCACTCTACCATACAGGCCTGATTGGTGGATTGCTGCACAGATGGTTGTCCTTCTGTAAAGTTCTCCTCTCTCCACAGAAGAACGCTGGAGCTCAGACAGAGTGACCAATGGGTTATTGATCACCTCCCTGACTAAGGCCCTTCTCCCCGATCACTTAACTTAGATGGCCGGCCAGCTCTAGGAAGAGTCCTGGTGGTTCCAAATATCTTCCACTTACGGACGAGCCACTTTGCTCATTGGAACTCTCAGAGCAGCAGAATTTTTTTCTGTAACCTTCCCCAGCCTTGTGCCTTAAGACCATCCTGTCTCAGATGTCTACAGACAATTCCTTTGTCTTCAAGCTTGGTTTATGCTTTGACATGCACTGTCAACCCTGGGACCTTATATAGACAGGTGTATACCTTTTCAAATCATGTCCAACCAACTGAATTTACCGTGGTGAACTTGAATTAAGCTGCTGAAACATCTCAAGAATGATCAGTAGAAACAGAATGTACCTGAGCTCAATTTAGAGCTTCACAGCAAAGGCTGTGAATACTGATGTGCATGTGATTTTATTAGTTTTTTTTTTATTTTTTTATAAATTAACAACAATTTCAAAAAACCTTTTTTCATATTGTCATTATGGGTTATGTGTGTGGAATTTTTATGAAATAAAATGAATTTAGTCCATTTTGGAATAAGACTAACATAAAAAAATCTGGAAAAAGTGAAGAGCTATGAATACTTTCTGTATGCACTGTAAAACAATAAATACATATACAATCAAATAAATGTATAAATCCACAAGGCATAAATAAAACAATAAATACATTTTCTAAATAAATGAATATATAAATTCACAAATTCAGACATAAAAAACATATGTGCTGGCAAATAAATAATTAAACAAACTAGACAAATGTAGGGGGAATAAGAAAATGCTAAACTTATTCATTTTGAACATAGTTCGATATTTTTCTCAGCTCAACATGCTACTGAGAGGCTGTCTATCAATCATAATAAATTATATTTATTTGTGTATTTATTTATTGTTTTTGCAGGCAAGGAATACAATAAACAAATATACACACACTGAAAAAAAGATTTTAAAAAGATTATTTAGATTTACATTTTTGTTTTAAGGTAACTGGTTGTAAACAATTTATATAGGCTGAATTTAAACAAAAACTTACATTTAAAGTCAGAATTATTAGCCCCCCTGAATTATTAGCCTCCCTGTTTATTTTTCCCAATTTCTGTTAAACAGAGAGAAGATTTTTTTAACACAATTCTAAACATAATAGTTTTAATAACTCATCGCCAATAACTGATTTATTTTATCTTTGCCATGATGACAGTAAATGTTATTTTACTAGATGTTTTTCAAGACACTTCTATACAGATTAAAGTGACATTTAAAGGCTTATCTAGGTTAATTAGGTTAACTAGGCAGGTTAGGGTAATTAGGCAAGTTATTGTATAACGATGGTTTGTTCTGTAGACTATAGAAAAAAAATATATCGAGAAGGGGCTAATAATTTTGTCCCTAAAATTGCTTTTAAAAAATTAAAATCTGCTTTTATTCTATCTGAAATAAAACAAATAAGGCTTTCTCCAGAAGAAATAATATTATCAGACATACTTTGAAAATTTCCTTGCTCTGTTAAACATAATTTAGGAAATATTTAATAAAGGGGGTCTAATACTTCTGACTTCAACTGTAAGTTACCACTTACTTTACCACTTGCTTTAAAAGATGTAATAAGTCCAATGAATTTTTTTTTGAAGTGCTGAACCATATTTGAACACACACTGTTTGTGGGATGGGAGCCGGTGTTATGTCACTAATGCCGAGGCTTCTTTCAATGTTTCCATTCTTCCCCTCCTTCTCCTCTTATTTCCGTCCCATCAGTCACCGTGAGAGAGGAAAAGAGAGTGAGCGAGTGTGTCCTGAGTGGGTTGGACAGTTGGCCTTTTCACTCTGAATGGATGGGCAGAAGGGTAGAGGATTTAAACAAGCAGACAGCTTGACTACAGAGCGCAGTATTTACTCTGCTCAAACAAACAGCCCATTTTAGGAGGCCCGACTTAGATTTCTTCTCAGGGTGAAACTATTAGAGGAGGAGTGATTCTGAATATATGAACAGCAAACATATATGGTAATTTTAGCCAATTTGATATGTTAATTTAATCAAATTAATCATAAGTGGTAGAATTGAGATCCATCAAACTAAAATCCTACAAACTTTTCTTCAAGGGATAGTTCACAAAAAAATGAAACCGCCTCATCATGCATTCTCCCTCAAGGGGTTTTAAATTTGTATAAGTTTTGTGAGTTTATTTCTTGCCTAGAGCAGAAAAAGAAGATGTTTTGAAGAATGTTGGTTGCTGGGAACCATTGACTACTATGTAGTAAATAAATTGCTATGGAAGTCAGCAGCAACCAGCATTTTTCAAAATATCTCCTCTGCACAGAATCAGCTGTCTGTCAAAATTACAAATGCAGTCTCCTGAATTATGAAACACAACACTGCTGTACACAAGCAAAAACATGTTGAGAACCACTGTTATAGATTGTTTTGAATGGCATGTTTTTGTTCTCATGCCCTCCTCTGATTGGCAGAGAGCTGTTCAGATCTGATCAGGTGACAGGTGGATGTTCAGCACAGCGGTTTGATCAATACTTAATTTACATTAGAGATTAGAGAGAATCAGCTATGAGACTGACAGCAAACCATATGTCAGGCTGACAGCGCTGTGCACTCTTTTATCCTGCTTGTCTCTGTTTCTCTCTCTCTCTCTCTCTTGTTCTATCATTAAATATGGCTGTCATTGAGCCATATGAACTCTTTTGACCCTGATATACACCGCACAGTGCATTTTTAACTACCTCGAAGATGCAGTTTTAACTCCATCCAGGAAAGGTGAGATATTGCCATCTAGTGTACAATTAGCTTCCCTCAGTGCAAAGAAAATATCTTACCCGTACAGAATCTGCACCAGATTTTTTTTTCTCCATCATCGAGTCTGTTAATTTACTCATGTAAATGTGTGTAAATATACAGTTAAGGTCAAAATTATTTGATTTATTTTTTAATATTTCCTAAATGATACCGGCAGACTGAGAAACAGCATTATTATACATTTGTAATTATGTACATATCTATCTGCACACTTCTGATTATTAATAGAAACCTGCGCATATATACATCTATTGTAAATCTGTTCAAACCTAATACAACCTGTATATAATGTTCATAGTAAAGCCATTTGTACATATCACCTTAGTTTTTCTATAAATGCACTTTATAACTTGTACCTATATCCTGCACACGCTCAGAAATAAAGGTATACGAGTTGTTACTGGGGTGGTACCTTTGCAAAGGGTACAAATTTGTACCTAAAAGGTCCATATTAATACCTCAAGGTTACATATTAGTACCTAAAAAGTGTTCCTCTTAAAATTTGTGGGTATTAATATGTGCTTTTGAGGTACCAATATGAACCCTTCAAGGACAAATGTGTACCTTTTGAAAAGGTACCACCCCAGTGACAACTCGTATACCTTTAATTCTGAGTGTGTACTAGCTTAATGCCTGCCTATTTAACTGCACATTAGCACTTATAAAGAACGCAAATAATGACACTGCTTGTTTAAACTACTTTTAAAATGAGCTGAAATTACTCAATTCTTTTTTTTTTATTACTTTATTTCAAGGTTTATTTATATATATGTATATATACTGTTGAAGTCAGAATTATTAGCCCCCTAAATTATTAGTCCCCCTGTTTTTTCCCCCCGATTTCTGTTTAATGGAGAGAAGGGGGCTAATAATTCTGACTTAAACTGTATATATACACATAGAACAAGAACAAACATTGGCTTGTACTGTAGACATACAAAGGACGATAAAGGTAAGCAAAAAAGAAAATAGAGTGTATAGAACTTAAACCTCAGAGGGGTCACTGAATTGCTCTAAAGATACAGATACAGATACAGATACAGATACAGAAACAGATATAGATACAGATACAGATACAGATACAGATTCGTTAAATGAATTAAGAAATTGACCACAAGTTGCCAAAAATTTTCTTGAAGCTGGTCTGAATAACAGATGATCAGAAATCCTGTTCTGGAATGAAGGGCGTAATTGTGATTTCCAATTGTTAAGCACTAGTCTTTTAGCCACGACCATGCCTTGCATTAAAGACACTTGTATTGTTTGAGGAAGAGAAGATGTATTTTGTGAGAAGCAAACAACACAATTCTTAAGGTTTTTGGGGGGGACAACTAAATTGTTTTATGTTCAATCGTAACTAATTTTGTTTGTAAGTTTTTACAAACTAATTTGTAAAAATTATCAAGTAAACATTGTGTTTTCCCAATACAAATCAATTGTGTGGAACCCAGCATTATTTACAGTGTATGATTTTATTTTACATCCAGAATCCTACCCAATCCCTAAATCCACATATTTCCTTAGTTACTATTAGTAAACGGGTAATTAGCAGTTTATTGAGTCTTGTTTTGCTAATAGTGTGAATTGTACATAAAAAGTGTGACCAATATATAATATGAGAGCTTCTATCATGGGATATTTCTAATTTGCTTGCATTTTAAACCTTAAAAAGTTTAAACATTTTCTTTTATTCCTATCGATTTGTGTTGGGACAACATGAAGGAATTAAGTTTACCTATTAATTTTGGCAAATGAAAGTGGATTGAACAAACAATCTCATTTTGCATGCTGTCTTTATCAAATTTGAAATATAAACTCATGAAATATTTGGCCTTCAAGTCATTTTTTTATAGGACATTACATTAATGTTTTCCTGGGTTTCTATATGGAAATCAAATATTGAACACTGTACAATTTTTTTTTTTCTCATGACTTCATAATGTATAACTGTTTATATTTTTAACATGTAACTTCCCCTTTTACCATAGTACAGCTCAAAGTGTCTTCTCTCCAATGATACATAGTTTGTGTTTGTAGCTTACTGGAATCAGCAACTGTTACTATTTAAATTTAGGTAGGTGTAAATCCCCAAAATTGAGTGGTGCTAACAGGATAATTTGGCCCCCAAGTTAATTAGTTTGAACGAACAGCAAAAGTCATATTTTGTGTATACTCTGAAAATCATTCCACAAAATTCTGCACAGAAATATCCCCCACTGTCTAAACAAGAGATTTTGCTGTGTAATAATCACCCCCACCTCCAACCCACACACACACACACACACACACACACACAAACACTTAAAAAAAAAACATCCTAATCAAACGACCCCAGTGTTAGCGGTCAGGAGGAAGTGTGTTTGAATCATTAATAATAGATGAGGTGCTTTGTAATTCTAGTACATGTTTTGTTTACCTCTTTGAATGCCTGATGAGGTTTCTGTACCCTTCATTTACAAATTATGCTAATTATACCTGACAGTTTGTCACGTACGCCCCCCCTCTTCGATGTGCCCTTTTGTTGACACCTGCTTTTCCTGTTTTCCAGTGCCTTTCAGGGAAACGCCTTCCTACACAAATCGCCGGCGCGTGACTGGAGGCGACACTCTGACATCCTCACGCTCGCTGCCTCGCTCCGCCTCCGACAATAACCTGAACAATGTGGCAGACGCTAGCCACGCCCACTCCCCTGTGCCGTCTCTGAGGAGCCTGCCCCCTCTGGCCCACTCCGGGATCGACCCTGCGGCTGACGGCAGTCTACAGAGCACGGGCAGCTCGTTGTCCTCACACTCCCGCTCACCGTCCCTCCAGCGCGTCACTGAGGAGGCCAGCGTGCTTGCAGGACGCCGACACATGCCCCTCATGCACTCACACAGCCGCGGACGCCTCAGGTGAGCAACACAAACACATAAAAGTTTTCTTCCTGTCATCCACTTTATTAAACATGTACACATCATCTATATACTAGACCAGGGGTCACCAACCCTGTTCCTGGAGAGCTACCTTCCTGCAGAATTCAGTCCCAATCCTGATCAAACACACCTGAACCAATTAATAGTACCTAAAGCAGCACTTGATAATTACAAACAGGTGTGTTTGGTCAGGGTTGCAACTGAAATGTGCAGGAAGGTTGCTCTCCAGGAACAGGGTTGGTGACCCCTGTACTAGACTATAGAGGAATTACCAACCTACATCACACATGACGTCACACAGGTCCCCGGTTGAAAAAAAGACCGGTTGCAATAGCAAGCATGTCGTGTTATGCGCTAGGATGCCAAATTCGAGTCCAAAAATAGAAAACTTAACTTTTACCGTATTGACCTTATTCTAAAATGCTGAAGTGCGCCTGTTTCCGCGATTGTCTTAGAACTTCCGATTCAGTCGCATATGGGAGAAATGACTAGGAATAATAAACGGCAGAAAACGGTCAAACTACTTGCTCTACAAACAAATGTTTGCATGACTATACAGACCAAGTAGTATAATATAACAAGAAAATATCAAATTGCAACATCAAGCAGCGAAATGAGCAGTTTTTAATGTCTAAAAATGAATGGAAGTGAATGAGACCGGAAGTCTTGAGCCAAAAAGATTCAAATGGCAGCGCCCGCTCGTCGGCGGAGAATAAGGTCAATACCACACTGCTTTTAATGCCAACCCCAGACGTCTTTGGCTAAAAGGGAGCTGAATGGAGTGAGGTTATTTTATATCCGGTAAGTTCACACTATGCTGAATCATACACATTACACATTACTCGTTTTTTGATTGCAAAAATGATTTCAGCAAAAACAGTTAAATATGGGTAATTAAACTGCGGACACTGAATGCTAAAAATGAAATGTAAACATGTAAGTTCCCTTACCCTGCCGTACAGGTGCAGTTCGCTGTCAGAATGCAGTTTTGCTTGTTGATGATTACCCAGGCCTTGTATAGCTTTGTCTTCTTTCCTTGTCTGTGACTATGCAGAACCTCGGTTTTTAGCATTACAAAGTTTTGAATCTGGTAATCATGGAACATTATTTCTTGCACATGACCACACAGAACAAAATTGTAGGCATCCATTGAAAGCATTATGTAAATAATATGTATAATATGTAATCAATATAGCGTTTTTCTAAGACAACAACAAACTTTGTACCGCATCGGATGTCATTTCCTCGCTGTAAATGCTAGCGCTCCTGTTTTTTTCTGCAACCTCGCTGCACGTGCATCTTAAATGTACACCATCCGGTAATTCTTCAACCATGCAGGTCAACTATGTTTATATATAATACATTTAACTGGTAAAAGCTATTAGTTACTAATTAAGTTATTAGTAATAAATACAGTTATGGTAACTAATAATCTTAACTTTTCGGAATTTGATTATAATGTAATGATTTGCATTATTTGTAAAGCTGCTTTTGCTATTGCGAAGAGTGCTATACAAATAGACTTGAATTGAATTGAACTGAATCTTCAATAATGACTTGATTATTTTGGATACTTTGATAATCCGTTATACACTGTCAGAGATAAACGTACAAGAGCTTGAAAGGGGGCAAGCAAGTAGAGCCTTGCTGCTTTTTAGTCTTGCTGTTCAGATGTTTAATATGTATTTAGATTAGACCAGAGCTGTAGGACTTGCTGGAATTTACTGTGTTTTGGGGCTCCAACAAGCCTTATTGAATTTCCCCAGCAATATTACTTTAAACCTCATATTGTGTATTTATTGCAAAGAGATGATTGACAGATTTTAAGAGACCGCGAGACGTAGCGCTTTGTAATTGTCGCTTTTAAATGAACGAAGAAGGCATCATATTTACATGGATTAATTGGAAATTCAGACTCGTAGTGTAGTGTCTAATGTAAATAAGGAGCGCTTTGAATTATAGCGAGGGTTGGTGGGTAGTGGGTGTTCGGCGGTTCTGTTGCAGCGCTAATCAACACAAATCTGACACTGGAGACACAGCAGAGGCTGTTTATCACCACACTGCCTTTTAAAGCCGGCGTAATTTTTCTACTGTCTGAAACACTCATCTGAAATGTGCTAAATCATACCTATTTTATGCCACATGAAACAGCGAGACTCGCACAAGAGACCCAAATCACAACCGATTTTGATCGAGTTTGATGTTAGCGCATTGCTAAGCTAACCACATTGTACTGGCTACCTTTGATATGGAAATGCTACAGAATTAAATCATATTTTGACTTCTGAAGCCAAATTTAAAAGCTTTTGTCTGTGTAAATACACTGATGTTTTTAAATTGTAATATTTGTGAAAAGATTTGAATGAGAATATTAATTCAGTGTGAATAATGCAGTTAATTTAGCAGTCATGTTGGCGCATTGCTAAGCTAAAAAACAAAGTACTGTAGGCTACTTTTGATATGAAAATGCTACAGAATTAAGTCATATTTTGACTACTAAAGCCAATATAAAAGCTTTTTGTCTGTGACAATACACTGATGTTTTAAAATAATATTATTTGTGGAAAGGCGACGCGGTGGCACAGTGGGTAGCACAATTGCCTCACAGCAAGAAGGTCGCTGGTTCGAGCCTCGGCTGGGTCAGTTGGCATTTCTGTGTGGAGTTTGCATGTTCTCCCCGTGTTCACATGGGTTTCCTCCGGGTGCTCCGGTTTCCCCCACAAGTCCAAAGGCATGTGGTATATGTGAATTGGGTAAGCTTAATTGGCCATAGTGTATGTGTGTGAATGAGTGAGTGTTTCCCAGGCATCTGCTGCGTAAAACATGTGCTGGATAAGTTGGCGGTACATTCTTCTGTGGCAACCCCCGATTAATAAAGGAACTAAGCTGAAACGAAAATTAATGAATGAATGATTTGTGGAAAGAATATGAGTAAAAAAATATGAATTAGAATATTAATTCAGTAGGAATAATGCAGTTAATACAGCAGTGATGTTAGCACATTGCTAATCTAACAACATGATACTGTATGCTATCTTTGATATGGAAGTGCTACAGAAATAAGTCATATTTTGACTTCTAACGTCAGATTTAAAAGCTTTTTGTCTGTGACAATACAATGATATTTTTAAATTGTATTATTTGGAAAAAGAATTATGGAGAAAATATTATTGAAAATAATCATTGAGAATAATGCAGTTAAACAAATCATCAGATTGAACTGTTTTAAGAGTTTTATAAAATATCATAAATGTGTAAACATACAAACTTTTTAACATTTAAATATAATTATCAATACACTTTGCTCACCAAAGATGCATTTTATAGTAATGTTACAGTAAAAAAGGTTTGTGAAATATGAGAATGTCTTTTTATTAGTATTTAAATGTTAAAATCACTACATATTTAAAGTTCATTCTCTCAGCTTTCCATTTTGAATGGATTATAGCTCCTAGTGCATTCTGGGATTGCCCTGTCCAAAAGGATATATGCTTTTTTTATTTATTTTTTTATTTACGATTTTGCAAAACTCACAGACAGCAGTTTTATATCAGAATCATTTCTGCAATACCTAAAAGCACTTGTTTTTGAAGCAGATCTGTAATGAACCATTTATCAAAAAACATGTTTTAGGAATGCTTTGATTTATTACACACAGGATACATATTACAGTTTTGTATAGGTTAAAACAACCCAGGCTCTTTCTGAAAACGTACCACTATATACATTTCTGGAGAGCGCCAAATATGTCCCAGCAGGTATGTTTTTGGCTGTTTTTGTTTTCGCGAATCCACCAGAGGCCGCTGTGTAAGCTTTTTGAGATTTCCCAATTCAAATTTCCCTCATAAGTACCATTCGCGCATGCTGGTCTATCATAAATCCACAAGACCGCTGTTGACTGACAGATCAAATGACCCACAGTGCTCCTTCCCTAAACCCAACCAATAGTGTTTTCAAAAGTACCAACTGACCAGCGACCACCCACTTCCCTAAACCCAACCGACAGTGTTTCGAAAAGCAATCCAGAAAAAGAAAAGCCCTCACAGACGCCAGTTTTTTACCACGTTTTCAGATTTTACCACATTGTCACTCTGATATTTACTTGTTTATTTAATTTTTTTCTTCCGATTTTCATAACGGCCAATTTTGTTCATTTTAAAGATGAAACACAGCCGTACGTAGCTCTATCTACATAATTCGCGATTTCCAGAAATGTATATAGGGCTATTTTTTTCTGAATTAGCCTTTTGTTGGGTTAAAAAGTAACATCTATATACCCTCTGATTCTTTATGAATAAGTTCACTTGACCAAAATATACCTTTGTGTGCTAATTTGGACCTCAGGACTGTAATTTTACCAGCAGGTGTAAGTACGTCTTCCGCTGAGCAACACTTTAGGGCTTACTCTCTTTTTTTATGTGGTCCTGAGGGGTGTTTGCTGTGTTTTGTCCTAGTTGTCCATCTGTCAGTATTTCCTGACATCCTGGCCCGCTAATAATCAAACCATCCCACCGTGTGCAGCAGAGTGTGTGCAGAGTGTTTAATACACACAATCTGATGATACATACAGGAATTAAGCCAAAGCGTCTGTCCTTGGTGTCCGGTCTTTCTATAAAAGGCCCTAGTCTTTCTCTCTGGTCATTGGCCTTTTGTCTGGCTGTGTCCACCTGTCACTCCCTGAGGTTACTGCGGTGACCAGGAGAGTGTGTAATTAGTGCTGTAGTCATGCAGTCGGTTTCTGGCCGCCCACTTTTGTTCAGGGTCAAATTCGAGGCTACGACATGTTGTTCTAAGCAGTGTTGATGCAGATTTAGAGATTATGGGTCTCAAGAAAACAGCATGGAGGAGGCAAAGGTCAGAGGTCAATTGAAAGCGCTATTGGTTGATGGTGTATAATATCGAGTTCAATTTGGCCCTTCCCATCAATCCATGAGGTAAAAAGGAAGAATCAATAAAGCATTAGATAGCATTAGTTTCAC